TTTTCCTTGTTAGTTTAGATAGACCTGTAATAAGAGAATAAGCATTTACTAGTAGAAGTTTAAAATCTGTCACTAAGAACTTACAGGTGTAGCAATCAGCCATAAATAAGATAAATTATACAAAAGCAAAAACCAAGGGAAGGAAAAGCCTTACTCAGAAAGAAGATAATGACGCAATTCAGTGTTAAGTGGGAGAGGAACAGAGAGAGAGACTAACCAAATCAGTTTTGGAGACCAAAGGACAAGTATGAACTCCCACCGCGGACATTACGAGGTCTGCTACAACCCCTCCCTGGCTATTCCTGTACTCCCATGCAACTCTGCTCCAGCGTAACTACAAACAAAAAATCTCGTCTCTCCTGGCAACTCAAATTGCCTGACCCATCGACACCTGCGTCACGAGGTTGCTGAGATCAGGAAGCTGGATGCTGAATGCACAGTAGCCCCTAAAATGTTTTACATCATTTCCCGGCTTGGACAGTGACATTCTAACCTCAAGGCACAAACTAGGTTGGTCCTTTAAAAGGCACATTAGATCATATTCTCTTTATTTAAAACTCTCCAATGGCTTACCATCTCATTCCTTGCCAAAGCTAAATAACCTAAAATTACCAGCGAGGCCATCTAAAGTCTCCCCTCATGTGCACAAGGGAACACACACATTCATGCACACACACCCCCCTCACCTTCTACTTTTGACCTCTCTACATTCCACTCAGGACAGACTTCTTGATGTCCTTTGAATGTTTTAGGTAACAGATTCTTGGATCTAAGCTCTTCTCTGGCAAGATAACTGCAGAGCACACTCCCCACCTCACGAATGTTTTCTGCCCACCGTCTCCTTCCCACTCGAACTTCCCTGATGTGTCTGTATTAAATGCTGTGCATCCTGCTCCGTGACAATACTAACTAATCCTCTCCTCTGATTTATGTTTCTAATCAGCACTTTTGCGTAGCTAATGTCCTAGATATTCAGCTAATCAATCTTGTCCATTCACTGTGTCCCTTTAGAAGAACATGGGCTCCACTTTGGGGCTTTTGTCTGCAGTTTTCCTGAGTGTATCTCCAATGCTAAGACAGGTGCCCAGAAGACTTCCCCTTTTGTCCCTCTCCACCCAGTAACCCCATTCCCTCCAGTGACCACACCAAGACACATCATGATTAAAATGCTAAAGGTTAAAGATAAAGAAAGAATTTTAAAAGCAGCAAGAGAAATGTAGATAGTTACCTACAAAGGAGTTCCCAGGAGGCTGTCAGCTGATTTCTCAAAAGAAACTTTGCAGGCTAGACTGGACTGGTAAGAAGTATTCAAAGTGACTAAAGCAAGGAACTAAAACCTAGATTACTCTATCTAGCAAAGCTATCATTTAGAATGGAAGGGCAAATAAAATCCTTCCCAGACAATGTAGACCTAAAGAAGTTCATCATCACTAAACCATTATTATATGAAATAAAGGGAACTATATAAAAAAGGAAGATCAAAACTATGACTATTAAAATGGCAATAAATTCGCAACTATCAACAATTGAATCTAAAAAACAAACTAAGGAAACAAGCAGAACAGGAACAGAACCATAGATATGAAGATCATTTGGAGGGTTATCAGTGGGGAGGGCGAAAGAGAGCATGGGGGAAAGGTGCAGGGATTAAGAAGTACAAAGTGGCAGTTACAGGGAACAAAATAGGCAGGGGTGTTAAGAACAGTATAGGAAATGGAGTAGCTGAAGAACTTGCATGCTTGACCCTGTTTTTAAAAGAAGTGTGTCTTTTTAAAATTGCATGTTTTCTTCAGGAAAGAAGGAATGTTGTACAACAGAGGTTTTGATGTTAAAAAAAACCCTCTATTCAGAAACTGCTCTGCTATTTGAATTATGTTCACATCAATGTAAGGGGGCCAACAACTACCTGGAAGAAATGTTGTGAGGATTAAGCAACATCACGTATGCATAACCTACATCAGAGTGCAGTCATTCCACGTGTACTGAGACAAACTGAAGCTTTCCATTTCTTCTGCATGCAGACCACCCTGAACCTGCCTCAGTAGTCTAGTTTGTGAGCAGTTTTGGCTTTCAGCCATGCAGTTGCATGCCTCTGAAGGTCTGGATATGTTTGCCTGCAAAAGTATTGGTGCCAGGCTTTCTTATTATTGAGCATGTGGATTTATAAAATATAACTAATGATATGTGTCTGAAAGCACAAGCCATTTTTTTGTTCAAATTAAGGTGAATTTTTTAGAGATGCTTATTAAAAGCAAGATGTTAAAATGCCATGAAAGGGCATGAATGAATACACTGTAAAATAGTTATTAAAAATCATTAACACCGAATAGTAACAGTTTGTGTCCACACAAAAACCTGTACAGCTCTATTCATAATTGTTAAAACTGTCAAGCAACCCAGATGTTGGTTAGTAGAAGAATAGATAAACTGTGGCGCATCCGGACAATGGAATATTATTCAGGAGTGAAAAAAATGCTCTATTGTGCCATGAACATACCTGGAGAAATCATAACTCCATATTGCTAAGTAAAAGAAGCCATTGTGAAAAGACTGCATAGTTGTGATTGCAACTATACAACATTCTGGCAAAGGCAGAACTATGGAGAAGGTGAAAGATCAGTGATGGCCGGGGTTAAGTGAGAGGCAGGGATGAAGTGACAGAGCACAGAGGATCTTTAGGCAGTGAAGCCATGCTGTATGGTGCTATAATGGTGGATACGGGTCATTAAACATTTGTCCAAACCCACAGAATGAGAAACACGAAGGGTCAACCCCAGTGTGAACTCTGGACTTTGGTAGAGAGGGGTTGATGTGCCCCGTAAGTTCATCGGTTATAATCAATATAACTGTGGTGGTTACCCGCAACTCCGGCGTAGGATTGGACGGCGAGGCAGGCTGAGATGTGCGTGGGTGAGGGCACAGGGACCACACAGTCTTCATGCTCCATGTTGCTGTAGCCTAAAACACGGCTCTAAAAACATGAGTTAAAATTCTTTGACTGATAGGTCTTCATGTTCCTTTAAAATTTCCTTCACTCTTAAGATACAAAGAGGAAAACCTAGACACATGATGAATGTGCTTTATGAAAAAAATAGGCAGAGACCCATTCTGAGGATAATATCTCAGAGAATCTGCCTTGCTACCTGAAAATATATATACACACACACATAATACAATGACATATAATATATATTAAATTAAACTACATGTATATATAATAATAAGCTGAAATATTAAAGCTATCTTAAGAAATACTGTTTTATTAAACCATATTAATTAATTGGTCCACTGTCAGAAAATATAACATAGAATAAGCTAATTTCTGCTGAGTAGATTGTGTATATATATATGTGTACATTTATACATATATTTATTGACCACATATATAATTTAATGTTCAAGTATACTGTACTATAAATATTAAAAGCCACTACATTATATAAAACAAAGCCTGAGTTGGTCAACTTTTTCTGTGAGTGCCAAGATAGTAACTATTTTAGGTTTTTTAGATCAAGAATCTGTTGCAAGGACTCCCCACTGCCATAATAGTCTGCAAGCAGCTACAGACAACTGAGACCATGCATAACGAATGTGAATGGCTGAGTTCCAACACCCTTATTTGTATCAATAGAAGGCCAGGTGGATTTGGTGCAGGGGCATCTTAATTTGTGATGTAGAGAAAGATTGTCATTTAATTAATGTTCAAATATTACTAACTTCCAATGACTAGTTTTCATTAGTTTCAATATATACATTTAAGCAGGATCTTTCTTTTCACAAGTATATGCACGATTTTTAGAAAGTGTAGCAGCGTTTTAGAGGTACAATTGCATTTCAGGAAACTTAAGCAACACACAGGGCATCCACTTGTACGGTTCAGCTCAGTCCACAAATGAGCTGTTCTGTTCCACAGTTTTCCCATGCTCTGCAGCGATTCGATAACATGTGTTTCACGTCTCATCGCATGTGTGGTGGAGGCTGACATTCCTCTCTTCCCAAATGATTCTATTGGATTTTCATTTTGTTTTCACCCCTTTGGGATGCTTAAAAATTACATGTGCCTTTCATTTTCAAGAAGTGGTTGGTCACAGTCTTCTGTGTCTTTGTACCACTCTGACCTCTGACACAGTCTTGTGAAAGTAAAGATGATAGATGATAGAGATTGACAATCAGGACAATCAACAGTGATAAGTCTGCATTTCTGGAGTTCTGTTTCTGAATTCTAGTATTTTAAACTGTTTGTTTTTGTATTGTCAATTGTTAAAGTGTGTCTTTTATAGAATGGACATTTTGTTATTTATGTAGTTATTTATTGCCAATTTCTTTTATCATGGGGATTAGATTACAGTTTAATCAAGACAAACTCTTCCTTGAATGCAGAGCTCCAGAGAAGGTGAGCTCACACCAGCAAAACAAAACAGAAATAAAAGATGAAATGTGTATGTTTATGAACAGATAAATTTTAATTATATCACACCAATACTGCTGCAACTAGAATTTAACAGATAAATCTTGTAAGGCTATACAAAGTGTTGCCACATTTAACAGATATGTTTTAACTAGGAGCCAAGTTTTACTGAGTCTGACAAAAAAGGGCTTACCATTGTTCTAAGCTTTTGTTTGTTGTTTTTGTTCTCAGAAAGCATTTTATTTTCTCCTATTGATCTTGCAGGGGCGTGTCCTTTCCCCTGCAGAGCCCTCTTACATAAGTTCATAAGTTGAATTCCCTCTTTATCACCTCAAGGCCATAAGTACCTCATTTCTATTTTATTTTTGCTCATTGTTAGGAAAAGGGCAAAGAATACGATCAGTTCATTCTACTTGCTGGAGCTGTCTGCATTTTAACCCCAGACTAGGAGCGGACACCAGAGCACCCTTACGGTATTTTACACAAAGGGCTCAGTGTTCAAGGCTCTACTCAGAGAACCCAAAATAGCGTCCAGTGAGCAGCGACAAACCGAGTGTCATGGTGCTGAACGCCATAGCCCAGAGCACAGTGACTCAGTCAGGTCTGATGAGACGCCAGGGAAGCAAAAGAAGAATAATCTCTTCTACTGTCCCTCGTGTGTTTAACAGGAATCTTGAACTTCCATTGCTTCGGAACTGCTAGAATTTGAAGACATAGGTAAGAATGGGATAATCAGGCATACATTGAACTGTATAAATTATTTTTTAATGACTATAGTGCCAAAAAGTACTTTGAAAAGCTCTTCGCCAATGTGTACTTCACAGAAAAGAAAAAATTCTAATGCTTGAAAACTGTGACATGTATTTTGAACTTTCTCTAAGACAAATATATGTGAGAGCAATTAGCCATCATTATTGTTCAGATGGAGAAAAAGTTGCTTATATCTAGAATATTTAAAATATTGTTGCCAGGAGATATGTATCACCACTGTATTTTTTCCTTTCTCTAGAATTTTGGTTTTTAGTCTATCATGTATTTTACCTCCACACTACCAGATGATACTTATAGTAAAATTGTCAACCTTGAAATTATGAGAACAAATATTTACTTACAGAGTAAATAATCTAATAAATGATTTATATTTAGGAAGTGATATAAGTATGGTACTTTCTGCATATCTGAATAAAACTAAATGTTTCTTTGAAGACCAATCTATTTTCACATACAAGTATTTAATTTTCTTCTTTTGCTATCAAACTCTCTATAGACATTTGAAAATTTTATAAACAAAATGCTGAATTAAGAATGTTATAAATAATACCGTTAAAAGTAAACCACTGAGTTTAGTTTGACTATAAACACATATATATTGAAATATGTATACATGTAATTAGAAAATATTATATTCATTACATATAATAAAAGGCTATTTTATCAACTTTGAAAGGTATAAAATTGTATATTAAGAAAATGCCAAATTTGAGACACAATTCAATGTGTTTCTAATTTGTTGAAAATAATTTTAATTAGGTTACTAATATTAATAAAGTATTTCAATGAAATTTTGCCAAAGGGATTTAGTAGATCTGGAATATGAAGAGATAAACAACAAAAGTATCTAAATAGAATGGCAAATTTTTTCTTTAGAGTATATAAATTTATACTTTAGTCCATGAATTCATTTTTTGAATTACTATATCTGTACAGAAGGTATTATTTATATAAAATATTTGTAGCCCTGACTGGTGTGGCTCAGTGGATTAGTGTTGGCCTATGAACCAAAGCATTAATGGTTTGATTCCCAGTCAGGGCACATGCCTGGGTTGTGGGCCAGGCCCCCAGTAGGGGACATGTGAGAAGCAACCACACATTGATGTTTCCCTCTCTTTCTCTCTCCCTTCCCCCTCTCTAAAAATAAATAAGTAAAAATAAAAATAAATAGATTAAATTCAATATTTGCAAATTTAGTAATATACACATTCTTGGTAATTTGCAATATAAATTAATATAGTAAAATCATATAAGTTCATACAAAATACTTATTAAAATCTAAATACTTTAGTTGTTTAAGTATGACAAATATGCATATATACATGCTTATAATTTTTATTTGAAAAAGCTGAAGGGATTAAGAAATACAAACTTTTCAGTTATAAAATAAATCACTGGGATCTATTATAAGGTACAGGAAACATAGTAAATAAAATCATAGTAACTTCCTAATGTAACGTTGTATGTCAACTATAGTTTAAAAAATGTTTTAGAATATTTAAATTTCAATGTAATGTGACTCTCTCTGCTTATCACATTTTTCAACCAATAAAAGTATTTTTCAAAAAGGAATAATCATTATAAAATTAAGTGTAGAATTATTCATTTTTAAGTAAATAGCCAGCTTATGAAATCTAGAAATTATCTGATATTTTATTCTTTAAATGCTTCCTATGCATTCCTAAGAATTGTTACTATTCTTTTATAATAAACCTATCTAAGAATATAGATTGATACTGAATTTTTTGCCCCTCACACTCTTCAGATGTCTCCCAATGTAATGTTAGATTTCAGGTGCTATAGAATATTTAACATGTTCTACAGTTTAGAGGGACGCATAGTTCTCATTCCCTACTTTGCTTGCATTGGGTTTTATTGCCACCGACCTGATGTTTGAGAACCATGCTGATGAGAATGAGGAAGTGGACCATGTACATTTTGTTGTCATGGCGATTTCCTTTAGTATGGTGACCTTTGACGACCTGACCTTTGATGAGACGTATTAGATTGAGGACTACACATACAAATGTGGAATTTAGTGAGCCCGTATGAATCCTTCTTTCTGGCAATGCTGCTAAAAGCTCGTAGATTTGAGAAATGAGTGACTTTTACCAAAGTGACCAGAAAGAAGTCTGATACTTTCTAAAAATAATCCATACTTTTAAAGTGTTCATCACCGGCTCACATCACCACTCAGTTGAGAGTCCAGCAAAATGTTCTAAAACCTACCTTTTTGCAACTTACAACAAGTCAGTTTCTTTTGCAATGATGTAAGCCCTCTGGAGGATTCTCATATGATTCACTAAGAGAATTCTTATCTCCCTTCGAATGCAGTTCTAGCTCCAGTAAAGAGGAAGTGGTTTCATCAGAAATGTGCTGCATTAATTACTCAGTAAAAGACATTCACAATCATCAAAGGATGCCATAATGTTCAAGCAGAACATAATGTTCAGAGACTCTGCTTTGGCATACCAGGTCTAATGAAAAACAAATTCATGGAACCGGGAAGCAGATGAGTGGTTACCAGAGGGGAAGAGCTTGGAGGGGGGGACCATGTGGAAAAAGCAGGCCAGCTGTGTGACCACAGCTGGGAACTAGACTTTTGGTGGTGAGCACCCTGGAGCAGACCTGAAAGTTATACAACACTATAATGTGGCCTAAATAAAGTAAAAGTTTAAAATGTTATTACAGGACAGTGACGTATAAACATGCAGGATTAGTACATCCACATTTTTATGCCCCTTCATCCTATGACTTTCCATAATAAAAGATCACCATAAATGTGCAGAATAGTAGGTTAAAGTGGAAATAATTTTGGCATATCAGTTATGGCCTAAAATAACCTAAGTAATTTTCTCTAAGTACAAAACTTAGAAATGTCATTTCTATGAAAATGAGTAAGTTATACATAAATCATAGGAGAAAAATGCCACCGTTTTTCCGCTTTTAAGTTGAATTACAGCTGGATTGTTTCCAAGAGTTCGCCATCTACTTAAAAGTCTCTAGTGGACATTCTGACATCCTTTGATGAAGAGAGGACACTGCCAAGATTCAAAGACAAACAGGGACTGTCACCATAACACGAAAACGAGAAAGAGAACAGAACAGAGATGCATCTTTTGTTTGAATTTTAAAAGTATTGTTTGTTATTAAACAAATACTTCTTGATTGTGCTTGAAATTTGCTCTTGATCCAGCAAGGCCAAAAAGAGCCCTTTTCCCAAAGTGACAGATGAAAAATGCAGGGGCCAGGACACCACTTTTCAGCTGGGTGCGGACCCTCCTTCTAAATAAGACATTGGTTTTTCTTTGCCTCTTGATCTTCTCTTCCATCTAATGTCTATCAAATGCTCCAGTTCTGTAGGCACATCAGGATCTGATTCCAAACACCTTGGTTAGTAATAAATAAGCATATGTATTTGCATACATATGTACACACTTGTACATATGTGCATCTATATACTTGTCAAAGGATACAAGTCAAATTTACATATTTGCTCATTTGATAATTAATGACCACAGTAAAATGCTATGCCATTTTATAAAATATATATTTAATAAAGTCACTTATATAATAAGTGTTACATATGTATATATATGTATATACGTTTTAACAGTTTAAAATACACAGCTCTTAACTCATAGGTATAATTTGTGTGAGATGATGTGAAATTGTATTATAAAGATATCTCTGAGTTTTTGTTTGTAGAGAATGAAGAAACAAGGAAAACCTGGTCAAGCTGTATATGTGTAAATTAGTTATTATGAATCTTAGATATTAATTAGCTGGCTTCTATATATAATGAAAAATGGTGTTAGGGATACCAGATATAAAAAATAGGGAGGAATTATTTCATAGAAAAATATTCCTTTCCACAGAATGCATTAATCTCCCTGCCCACGATAAACTGGAGTGACTTATACTCCATATAACCCAAATTTTTAAGATAAAAGAAAAATTTACTTACTCAATAATTCAGTCATTCATCCATATTATACTGAATACTTCTACATTTAAGCATTTAAAAAATAACATGTTTATCTTCTCTGTAATCAATTACAAGGGAATCAGAAAACTAAAAAAAGATATTCTTACTCACATTTTAAGTCCACTTTTATCTTAGATTAACTATATTTATGATACTTTTTCTTCCATAAATTTATATGTATTTTAACCCATTCTATTCCTAGAGGTATCCTTGTATTATTTTCTAAATTTAAAAAACATCTTTTTAAAATTTTTATGTACATTTTATTTGGAATTAAAGTATTGTACTAAAGTTTTATCTTGGGACATAGAAAGCAGGAATGTATTTACTATTAAAGCCTGCTATTCATGTTAAGGGAATTTGATTTTTTCTATATTTGTTAAAATACTTTGCAAGACCATTAAACCTGCAGCTACTATGTTATGAGTGTATAACTGTAGCCTCATCATCAGCTGCATATTCTTTATTTACTACTCCTAACTTCCTTTTATCTTTATAAATACTCATAAAGTATAAAAATCATTTACTGTAAAAATTTAGCTTCTGTTTTTCTTATTTCCAAATACTAAGTGCTGCTATTTTAGGTGTTAATTAACATCACACGCAAGAAACAGCTAACAACAAATTATTTCCTGCTTGCTACCTCCTGGAAATACTACCAGGATATATGTATGTCTCTCTGTCACTTCAAAATAAAACAAAACTTAGTACTTCAACTAATTACCTAAGAAAGTGAAAAATGTGCTGTGTATCTCAAAAGAAAAAAATTGGTTACTTTCTAGGAAATTAAATACCTTTATATCTAATTTTAATTTTAAACATTTTTCATTATAACTCTGAACATAGAAGAATTTTTTCGGCTTTACTTATTAATGGCGTAACCAAAACTGATTTCAATATTTCACCAACTGTGGCTGTGCACACGTGATACCCTGGTAATAAATGCGTAGGAAATGCA